GAAATGAACTGTGTTCTGGAGATTAAAAGATTAAAGCTTGAGTTATTCGGCAGTGCTACTGATCTATACAACCTTATTCTATCCTACATGATTACTGAATGATCGAGGTCATGAAACGAAGCTCGGCATCGTGGATGCTGAGCTTATGCGATTGTGTGTCATTTTCCGAGAAGGGATGCAAGCTCATAAGCCATTCAGCGAGCGTGGATCTGACGTGAAAAGCACGTTCCTGAAGGCTTGCATTGGTGGGGTCTCCAGGTTGATTATTTTAGCAATGGCAACAACGAGATGTAAACTGTTGGAGACATACTTTGTCTAGGTGGAGAATAAACAGTATCGGACTCGGGTTTTAAATTTCCTACTCTCCCAACTCCGACCAACTCCAGCATTCATGATATCGGATAGAGACAATGGAACGTATGAATGCGGTGTAGACAACTGCACCAGACGTGCCTCACTTTTTTGCTTTCGGCATCTGATGGAGAATTTCAACAAGAAATACAAGTGAAAAAAGTTGAAGAATATGGCGTGGATATTGGATCGCTCAGGGACAAAGGTTGCGTACGAGAAGGCGGAAGTGGACATCTCCAGCTTGTATAAAAGTGCGATAGCGCGGCTTCAAGATTTCTGGCTCTGAAAAATGGTCGACAGCTAACTCCCCAAGTCCAGTATACAACACTATGACACAAACTAACGTGGAAGCTGTAAACAGGCATTCAAGAGTGTTTAAGACTTCCAATTATCAACTGATTAATGGAGATTGAGAGTTACGTGGCGAGTTAGTGGGCTGAAAACGTAAGCAAAGTAAAAGGTGGGGAGTACTTTCGCCATATGCATCTCGCAAGGTGGACAAAAGAAACTGTCCGCTGAAGCATGGGGTAAAATTGATGTAAGATCTACCTCATGCTTCGTTTTCACGATCCGGTAGGGAATGAAGGTTAATCTGGTGAAGTTTGCAGCTCAATTTTGTTACAAGGTTGTTCGATACTCGTGCCGGTACTTCAAGGATGTCGGCTCTCATTTTGTCAATGCTCTACTTGCGCTTCGGCACACTGAAAATCTGCCCGAATTGATTCCATATTTTCATGACTCGTGGAAATCAAAGACTTTTGAAGCAGCATTTTCGGAGAGATCAGAAGATCAGGTGTTACCGCTCGTGTTAAAGATGATTTGACAGATGTGTGTGAATCGCCACATCCATTTCGTAAAAGAGAGGGCGCGTAAAAAAAGAAGAGGATGCCATCTCAACTATCAACTGAGAAAGTGGATAAGCGCCATCCCGTACGATGTGGAATGTGTAAACAATGCGGTCACAATCGTAGGGCCTGTCCAAGCGTAGCAGCCTGGTTAAAGTCGACGTCATCGCTAGTAGATATTGCATGCTGATCAGAGGGGTTTTCCAAGACAGGGGTTTCCTTGCTAAAAATACACAGAAATGAAATGTATAGTTGATGGGCAGACGGAAACACGCCATCGTGACGTAGGTAACTACATCCCTTAACTGAATAGACTTCGTTAAAAACCTTTTAGTGTGAAACAAAGAGGGTGTAATATTTTGACCATCAAAAACAGGCTTGGTATATTTTTGTATTATTCGATCTAGTTGTATAATTTTTTTGTTGATTATCTTGGTATATATATTGTAAGGGAAATTAAAAAAATTCTCATTTACTCACAAAAATAAACAAATGCGTCACCTCCTAGTATGCTCAAGCTAACGTGGCACACATAATATCACACGTCCTTAATCATTTTCGTTTTCCCATTGTACGGCTGTGACCAACCCCGCCCTGTTTGGGAAGCCGCTGAGAGGGTTCTGCCGCGGGCATGCTTCGCTTGCAGCCAACAGTTGCAGGCGCAGACACGAGATATGAGGACCAAAACACATCTTCATATCATCGGTCGTGGCCGTATCACATTAACTCGGTGCTGATTCTGTTAATATTGGTGCTATTAGTGTTGTTATTGTTGTGTCAGTGGTTATTGTTGTTTCAGTGGTTATTTGTGATGCTGCTACTGCTGTTGCTGCTGCTATTGTTGTTGTAGTTGCTGAGGTTGCTGCTGCTGTTTTTGTTGTAGTTGCTGAGGTTTCTATGGATATTGTTCTACTTGTAGGATCGCATTTCCGCGCTCCAGGCGTTTATGATTCGACGTGTCCCGTTGCCGTTCCTCAGTGGGCGACGTCGACGCTCACCGAGTCCGTTCCGACGCCGGAGGAGTTTGAGTCGAAGTCATACTCCGAGTCGCAGTCGGAGCTCAAGTCTTAGACGCACCAGCCGGAGAAGCCGCAGATGACGATGCAGTCGCGTTTGGCAGGGGCAAAGGCACGAGATGCAGTCGTTGCAGTGGATGGGGCCGCGTGCACTAAATCCCGCAACACGCGCGTGCTGGCTCAATGACGGACAGTGTACGTGTTTGTGTGTGTGTGTGTGTGTGTTGCTATAAAAAGACGAGTGTGGTGCTGCTTCTACCAAGTTGCATTTAGGACGAATGACACGGTTTATTATAACGATAGGATTTAAGCAACTTGCACTCTAAATTGCCCGCACCTAGTGTGAGGGATTAGAGTAGGTTGCATTGTGCTCATAGAAAGTGCGTTGAGAACCATCATAAACAGAATCAGAACTTGTATCGGTGTGCTGCGCTTAAGTTAATTGAAGTGTGCTAGGACGTGGGATATTTTTTCCAATTATCTGGGGCACTTTTTAATTTTTCGTGATAAAATGGAACAATTTTTTAATTTCACTTTATATAATCCCTATATTCTATTATATGTTTATAATTTTTACATATATTTGTATGGCTTGTATCGCATTTTTATATTGTCTTACGTAGTGGTCCATTTCTCCTTTGTCTATAATGTAAGTGCAGTGTAGTAGCTTTCTTTTCTCGTGGTGTATTTTCGCATATTAGCAATCACCTGGTGCAAAATGAATCCCCTACATTGCATCTCTCGAACATGTATTTAAGACCTTCAACAGAATTATAATTAGGCGGTGCTCCTGACTTTTGTTCAAATAGCTGGTCTGGTAGTGTTAGACTAAAGTTTCTGTTACTGCACGAAGAGTGTCTTCTCTGGTTATCGTGTGGCAGAGGTTCAAGGCTTGCATGCGGTCAATTCTTTGACCATCATCGACGCCTGCACTGTCATAGTGTAGATTAACGCATACCTTTCCTCCAGCAGTGCAAGTTTATTTATATAAGTAAAAGGAAAGTTAATTATATATCCTATTGTAATTTTGACGGTATTTATGCAACTTACACGGATTTTGTGCTTGCACCCTATTTTTGCGCTCGTAGTTGAACACACTGAAGCCGTCATCAATTGCGAAACATCATATACTGACGGGTGTTCATCATTGGCTGTTCCTCGCATAACCTGACTTCGATGAACATTGCGAAAAACAAGCCATTGGTATAGATTGATCTCTGTGGTCGTTTGGTCTACTTAAATCAGCCGACAAACGCGAGACACGGTCAATTGTAAGTAATTATAGCTGTAATTAATCCCCCCGATAAACGCATGATAGTGTTTTTATTCGAAATGGATGCAAATGAGCGAGTAATTAGTGTCGCGTTTGGAATGTACACCGATTACGTTGGCAACATGACGCTTCATCTGCAAGCCCTAATTTGTTTTGTTGCTTACGAAAAGCGGCTATCTCTTTTGCAACTTTATCTCAGTATCTTTGTGTTCAGCGGAATAAATGCGATAACTTGCTGTGACTTTTGATTCGAATATGTGACCTGAGATTTACAATTTCACGAGCAAATTTACAAACAGAAATTTGCGAACCGTCAGTTTGATGCAGCCGAAAAGGCCAGCCTTTTTTATCTCTGGACATGGCCGGCAAACCAAAAAAGCGTTTTAAGCTGATGATAGTTTGCGTGAGTGGTTTTGTTGCTGACCGCTTTTAGAAACGAGCGTTGTAGGAGCGATTGACTTGACTTGGTAGAGCTGAGCTTTCGCATGGACGCTCGCTAGCGACAGAGTGAAATGTGCGAAAGGGGTCAGACAACGGCCGTTTCCCCCTGGCCAATTTGGGCGGACCTCGCGCGTGGAATGACCATTTCAACTAGTCCTACATTGAGAAAATTCGAACTGGCTCGCTTGGGGCTGGCAGTCAGTCACCGCCTCGGTGGTAATGTGACTCAGAGCGTCGTTTCTCAGCACGATGAGCCGACTCTATCAACAGCCTTCCACCGCGAGTTAATCCACCGAAGCAAAACATCTAGTTGGTAAGCTTGCGAAAGACTCGTGCACCACTGTCGCGGCCATGTAAGCTGCGATGGATCGACGCGTCTCGATAGTCGGTCGTGAAGGGCCCGGATTTTATTCGCTCGTAGCACGATCGCCATCGCACTCGTCGTTGGCACCACATTGTTACTTGGCAGCAGCATAGAAACGGCTGACTCACGTACAACGTGCCGACTGCGCAACAAGTTGCAGTAACAGCAGTGGTAACGTCACCGGCGAGTTGGTGGCCACAACGTGCTCATGCCGACGCCGTTTCGGTCCATGTAGCTCCATTGCAGCATAAACTGTCTCGTAATGACCACACGCGACCCGACGACTCGTAGTACTACGAGGGCCGTCGAAATACCCATCGATCGCTCGCTCGAGCTGTCGATCGATGTGTCGGTGCGTGGTGCCACGCTGCAACGTAAGGGGCAGCGATTGGACGACAAGGTTGCTAAGGGTCGGAACGTGCGCTGATGGGCGCGCTTTACTTTAATCAAGTGAACACTTGACCCTGACGATACACCTGACTGACTTTCCACACTCGCCATTATCCCTTTCGTAGCGCGGCAGACCCCGCGACCGGCCGGTTCCGGTATCTCCACTTTCCGCTCCCCTTTCCGCTCGTGGGCATTTGCTGTGCCGTCTCGCGTAGCCACACACACACACACCCACTCAACCGACCGACCCCCACCGATTGATTGACTGATTGATTCATTGACTGGCTGCTCGTCTGGCTGCAGAGGAGAGCTGCATCAACATGGACCGCTTCCGACTGGACGGCGTGGATCACGACGGCGTGGACACTGTCGAGCCCATGCGCCCGAGCTCGTTCGACATGACGTTTTCACTGGGCAGTTACCCGCACGCGCAAGGAATGAGCCGAGAGAGCGAGTCGCAGCCCGATCCCAAGAGCCAGGACAAGAAGGTCGACGTGACGAGCGACGGTGCCAGGCGGCAGGACAGGGGGCAGAAGGGAAGACTCCACGTGGACGAGCTCACGGACAGCGCGCGGTCGCAAAAGGTCGACACGAGCGGCCTCGACCCGTCGGTCGACCCGTCGGCGCCCAGCCCAGCAAGCTCGTCGCCTGTGTCCACGTCGGTGCACAAAGACGCGGCGACCATCGCCGTGAGACTGGAGGAGAAGGCCCACGAAGCTATTGATACCGCCAACTTGTGCGGCAGAATGTCGTGGAAATTGGCCAAGCGCACACAAGACGTGCACGTCTATCGCCCAGCGACGCTCCCGTCAGACGAAGACGCGTCCACGAAGCTGTATTTTCGCGTGTCGTGCGAAGTCAAGGCGCATCTCGGCACGATCATGGAATACTTGACGCCCAGCAACTCGAGGAACTACTTTGACATTGAGTCGCAGGTCTTTCCAGGACTGCTGCACGCTGCAGTCATTAAGCGCGTGGAGCTCCCGGAACGCGCGCCGTCGTCCACGACCAATTCTGGACAGACCCTGCAGTTTCCGTCCGGTGCCTCGGCCACTACGACTGCAAGTGATAGTCACGATGACACGTCTAGCGTGGGTGACGAAGCGAGTGAAGTGTTTCCGCATTTACAAGTCAAGTGGCATGCGAGTCGTTTCGCCGGGCGATTTGTGAAGCCCGTGGATTTCTTTTTTGTCGAGTACGCGAACATCGAAACGATGGCCGACGGCAAAAAGCGCGGATACGGCTACATCCGGTCGGTGGAGTCATTTAAAGGCGACGAGCTGGCGATTCGACTTGCAGGAGAAGACGTGGTCATTCCTTCGAGTGTTGCTAAGTGCAAGCGTGCTGTGATTAATAAAGGCGTCTACGTGGTTTCACCCTCGGATGATGCTTCAGGCACATATAAAGTGACTTGCATGATGGTGATTGACTTTCAGAAGCAATTTGCGGCCTCGGTGGGGGCAAAAATCATCCAGAATTTCACCGATCGGCTCATTGGCATTCGCGAGCTGCTGTTCAACACGCTCTTTCGGCCCATTGCCGTGCTGTCAAAGAGTGAGTGGAAACCTGCACGCAGCAATAAGTGCGCGATTTGTATTTGCTCGTTCTCCATCGTAAAGTCCAAGCATCACTGTCGGTCCTGTGGTGAAGCTGTTTGTGGACAATGTAGCCGAAAATGGACACTACAGCCTGGTGCTCAGCCTGAGGCCCACGCTCGACTATGCACGAGTTGTTCGTTGCAGGCAAGAAGCTACCTCACGCCGAATGGCGAACCCAGTCGATCACCAGCAGGGGCTTCCTCTCGTTTTTCGTCGGTATTGAGCAATCTTCAGCTCGCTGGGAGTCGCTCGAACGTGCGTCAAACGGCCAGTGTCAACAAATGTGACGTGCAAGTTGCAAGCACCATATCAACCGATCCTGATGTTTTTGCAGCCGCTACATCAGCGTTTGCAAAGCTTGTGGCTGCTTTGGGTGATCAGAATCCCCATTTCATGTTGGTGTCGTATTCGCATCACCATAATGGTGCCGCGGTGTATGAAGCACTCGCACGTGCCGCTCCAGATACCCTTTTCATGGGCGGTACATCCAGTGGTGGTGTGTATGTAGGCGCTTCCTCGCCAGCGATGGGCTTGGGTCAGGGAAGCAACACAAATGGCAACTCATGGCACCGACAGCACCAACGCTCAGAGACTCATGGAACCGTGGGTTTATGGGGTATCTACGATCCGGAAGGGTCGTATGCAATTTTGAATGCCGATTTGAGCCGCGAGAGCCCACGCGACGCTGCAAGGAGATGCTTGATAGATGGCATGGCTATGCTGGCAATGGAACCTGAGGATAGCCCGGATTTCGTATGGGCCGTGCTGGGAGGCGAAGATACGTCCGATTTGGTGACTGACCAACGGGACGGAGAAGAAGAGCAGATAACGCGGGCTGTGAATGAAATCGTCGACTGCTCCTACTCTGTAGTGGGCGGTAGCTCGTCCCGACATGCTGCCAATAGCCGTGAACATGCTACCCAGGTGTGCTCGGAAGGGGGCAGTACAGGATGCGTGACAAAACATGGCGTGTGTTTTGCAATTTGCTGCCCTAGTGTAGAAGTCGCGCACGCGTTATTCACGTGCTACGATGCTACAGAGAAGACATTTGTCGTGACGAAAGCAAGTGGCCGCGAACTGTTTGCACTCGACCACAAACCCGCACTGGAAGCCATTAACGAGGCAACGCACGGCATGTTGACGGAGATGACACAGCGACCGGAAAAGTTTAATTTGGAGTCGAGTCTGCTTCCAGCTTACTATCCGGTTGCACGTGAGCGACGCGGCGCCGTACCCCGCGGCTTCAAAAGGAGCAGTTCACGCTACCAAATTTTGCAACCAGAGACGTCTGCGCGGGATCTATCTCTGCACATGGGTGCCGAGGTGTGTCTTGGTGAGCGGCTGCATATGATGTCTCTCTCGCCACACGGCATAGCTTCCAAAGCTCGCCGTGGATTACGTGATGCTGTTCGGATGTCGATCCCGACAATGGACCTCGACGATGTCATAGGGTGTTTTCTGAGCGTTGGCATGAGCTATGACCGTGTGATGCAGGGTGACCTGAAAGCCGTGGCTGACGCAACGGGAAGTGCCTTCCCTCATGGAGCATCGCTTTTGTCAGTCTCTCATGGACAACAGGGCGTCATGGCTGGCGGCAACGAGGCTGTTCACGCTAATTGTATGATGACAGCTTTGATCGTCACGAACCGCAAGAAGTCACAGAAGCTCCGGCCGCTCAACGTTCGAAGGAGAGTTTCATGATCTGCCGTACCTCATCAGACCTCGACTCGAAACACCCCTATTTTACCGCTAACGAATTAATGAGAATGGTGCCATTGAGCCAACTGATACATGCAGTCGAGAGCGACTTTCCTCATTCGTCAGCAACTGCCAAACGCAATTTACCATACCAAAGTATCTTGAGCTGTGATGTTTCCTTACAAGTCGGCGATGTCACCTTCGTAGCGCGCGACGGAGTGGTTCGAGAAGCGCGGCTCCGCACGAACAATAAAGGCGCCACGATGGTCCGGGTTCGTGATGAACACACACCCGGAGACGCCCATGGCAGCAGCAGCCTCCCGCATGGCGTTCGCGACCTTATTCTCCTGACGCTCAGCCAGCTGCTGCGTGAAAATGTCACCAGCACGGCCGCTGGTTATGGCCAGGACGGTAGGGCCAGCACCACTGAGGAAGCAGCCGTGCGCACCAGCTCCGAGTGCAGCGTTAATGAGCGGCTCGAGATGCGGATACTGCGCGGCACCACGCTGCGGCTGGTGCAGCATGTCTTGCGTGGCGAAACGCAGCTCATCGAGGTTGCCGGATCGGAACGCATTCACGAAAATGGCCGTGCGACCAATGTTGAACACGGCGTCCTGGCGCGACACATTCGGCGGTAAAATAGCACGTGCCACGCTCGTGGGACCCGTCGTGTCGGGAATAAACACGACACACTGCAGCCCGTCTGGGATCTGCACACGCGAGGAGTACCAGCGGTTGTCAGCAAAGATACCGAGCTGCAGACCGCCATAGATCGCAGGAGCGACATTGTCCGGGTGTCCCTCAATCTCTGATGCCTACAGCAAAGTCATCAAACATAGCACCCGATGCACGAGTCAATGAGCGTTACAATGATCATTTGCACTCTACGCCACTCGCATCGACTTACAATTTGCAGCAGCTCTTCCCGCCCTTGCACTGGCAAGCGCATGCCAGCTAACGCGAGTCCAGCAATGATGCCGCCCACAATGCCAGCCGAGCTGCTGCCCAGCCCACGGGCAAAAGGGATGCGGTTCTTGCAGTGGACTTTGACATGGCGCGGCATCTCTTCACCTGCGGCCCGGAAAGCAGCTTTCAGTCCCACAATCACGAGATTTGTCTCGTCTCTGGGCAACTCGCTGGCGCCTTCGCCCTCGTTCGTGAGCGTCACGCGGCGCAAGTTCGACGCGTCACCCGCCAGCGGCGCTGCAACTTCGACCGAGATCTCCGTCCATATATCCAGAGCCATTCCGATCGTGTCGAAGCCAGGGCCCATGTTGGCGGTTGTAGCCGGTACGCGCACGACCACCGACGTTAGTTTATGGTGCGCCACGTCCGTGGGCAGCACTGTCGCCAGGGCTTCGGCCACTGCCTTGGCACGACGTTGAGCTGCAGCGCGTTTCGCAGTCTTGGCGCGGGCGCCCACGTAGTAGGCCAAAGCAGCGCCGGCCGCTGCGACCGCGACTTGCGTAGCCACGCGCGGCGTCGTCGCGTCAGGATTTGTCATGGGGACAAGTGGCGTTCGTGTGGCTTGTGGTGTGATGGTTACATGGGTTACGTTTCGGGGTGCAATCGGTTTCTCCTCGGACGTACCGGTAAGTTAGTGGCCATGGATGGTATATTCGCTCTCGTGGTGCCACGCGATCGTCTTTTGATCGGCACGATGGTTTGTATCATTTTAGAGAAGCCCCTCGTTGTACAATAACATACGCATCGATCGAGATGCGATTGCTCGAAAGATCGATCGATCCTCGACTTGCACTGAAAGGTCGATATTCGATTACACTAAAGCTCCACCATCTTTGCTACTTTGAGACTGTTCGGCACCCAGCCATAAAGTCGCTTTCGATAAAAAGCAAACAGTAGTCCACGACTTTGACGGTAGAGCCAACAAGACGGGCTCCTTCGCACCTGCCACGACCGACCGGTCCCAGCACAAGGGGCGCCAATGGATAGCAGCAGCAGTGACGACGATCATGTGCCTATCGCGATGCTGCGCAAGAAGAGCAAGACGCCCACACTCAAGGGCTCGTCACCTTCGACTCGACGCAGCGTGAAGCAAGAGACGCCGTTTAAGGAAGACGAGGACTCGGACAGTGTACCGTTGGTGCAATTAAAGAAGAAGAAGAAGACCGCAGAACGTGACCAGGTGGCCAAGAGAAATGGGGTGACAGCTGACGCGAAGAAAGCGGTCGTGAAGAAAGAGACGGGCGTGAAGCGCAAGGTTTCGTCGTCGTCGTCGTCGTCGCTGTCGGTGAAGAGCCGGAGAACGGCATCCAATGGGAAGGTCAAAGTCAGAGATTGAGAAGGGAGCGAACGTTCGCAAGCTCAAGGTGCATTCCAAAAGCGAGCGCCTGGATATGGCCATCAAAGCTTTTCGCTGGTGGAACGCCGAGGAGCTGCCTGAGGGCATCCAGTGGCGTACTTTGGAGCACAATGGCGTCATGTTTCCACCCCCGTACAAGCCTCACCATGTACCACTGGTGTACAATGGAAAAGAGATCGAGCTAACGCCGAGTCAGGAAGAGGTTGCTGGGTTTTACGCGTCGATTCCGCACGACGGGCCACAATTGGGCAATCCCAAGACTGCGAAGATCTTCAACAAAAACTTCTTTACGGACTTCAAAAAGATACTAGGCAAGCAGCATGAAGTCAAGACATTTGAAGGATGTGACTTCTCCCGCATTGCTGCGTACCTAGTGAAGCAGCGGGAAGAGAAGAAGAATTTGACGAAAGAGGAAAAGCTGCCGGACAAGGAAAAGCGTGAGATGGAGCTTTTTACCAATGGCTTTGCTCTCGTGGACGGCCATTTAGAGAAGGTAGGCAACTTTCGCATCGAGCCACCCGGTCTATTCCGCGGACGTGGTGAGCACCCAAAGACTGGTACATTGAAAGAGCGTGTGATGCCAGAAGAGGTGACAGTCAATGTAGGCATCTCGGACCGTGTTCCAATCTGCAACATGCCGGGCCACGCATGGAAACAAGTGATTCACCGTGATACTGTTTCATGGCTCGCCTACTGGAACGAGAACGTCATGGGCGGTATCAAGTATGTGTTTTTTGCAGCTAGCTCGAGTTTCAAGGGCAAGTCGGACTTGGCCAAGTACGAGAAAGCTCGACGACTGCAGCAATGTATAAAGAAAATTCGACGGGACTATACAAAGGGCTTACGTGCCAAGGACATGTTTACCAAGCAGCGCTCGACTGCTATGTGGGTAATCGATGTTCTCGCGCTGCGTGTGGGAAACGAAAAGGGCGAAGATGAGGCTGACACGGTGGGGTGCTGCAGTCTGCGTGTAGAGCACATGTCCTTCAATGATGACAATTGTGCTCTCACACTGTCGTTCCTTGGTAAAGATTCGATGCCCTACAACAACACTGTCGAGTTGGCGCAGTACGGCGACGTCGGCAGGCTGGTGTATCAAAACTTGAAAAAGTTCTGCACCAAGAAAGGTAAAAACGAGGAAGTCTTTCACGAGCTAACGGTCACCGAGCTGAACAAGCATCTGAGCTCACTAATGCCTGGGCTTAGCGCGAAGGTCTTTCGTACATTCAATGCGTCGTTCACGCTGGAAAAAGAACTGCCTGGACCGTCAGGCCAGGAGCTGGACCCGCTAGGAAAGATGGAAGTTGCGCCGAAGGTGGTGCTGTACAACGACGCGAACCGAAAGGTTGCTATTCTGTGTAATCACCAGCGCACTGCTCCAAAGTCGTTCGACACGACGTTGGACAAGATGAATGCGCAGCTTGGTCAGCTAAAGAAGCAGTTGAAGGAGCTGAAGCAGATGCAATTGATGATCTCGAAGGGCAACTCCAAGAGCATAAAGCTGAAGAAAGAGACTACATCCGACAATAAAGAGGAAGACGCGTTGGCAAAAAAGGCCCAGGTCCACCTTTTTCAGCGAGCGCCCTCAGCTGACCAAGTTGCCAAGAAGATTGAAAGCTGGAAAAAGAAGATAAAGGCCTTGTCTCTGCGTCTTCAGGATAAAACGGATAACAAAGAGGTGGCACTGGGCACGTCCAAACTTAACTACATGGACCCGCGCATCACCGTCGCATGGTGCAAAAGGGTAAGCCTCTCGTGCACGTTGCGTTGCCATTTGTGTGTATGTGCCTAACATTTGTGCCATTCTCTATGTGACAACAAACAGAACGAAGTCCCGATCTCAGCAGTGTTTTCCAAGACGCTGCGGGAGAAGTTCGTGTGGGCGATGGACGTGGACCCCGACTGGAAGTTTTGACCTCGTAAGCGAAGCCCGTAAATTAGGGAGCGACGCACTATTCTTGAGTAAATCGTAAAGAAAGCTGCTTCGACAAAAGCGATTGCCCTCTACTACTAATTGATGCCGCGTACTTCTACCGGGGGAGAGGGCTTTCGCGCAGCAAAAAGTACCGGCGCTACTTGTCACCGTCCGCATCTTTGTGCTTTTGTTCCCACTCCTCGCCGCACTTCTTAAGTTTTTCCATTAGCTCCGTGTGCCCTCGTCGCTCAGCAAAGTTCCACGCTTTGTTGCCTGTACGGTCTTCTAGACACGGATTTGCACCCAAGCTCAGCAGCTTACTAGCGGCGTCGTCCCGACCGTGGTGTGCTGCTGCCATCAACGCCGACGAACGATCAGACTCAATTCGCTGGAAATTTACGTCCATGCCGTTCTGGATCAAACTGAAAACAGAGTGAAAGTCTTCTTGACGGAACGCGTGGTAGATGGCCGCATCCATGACTGAGCCAAGTACTTGCACATTGCGGTCCTTCACCGAAAGCAACTTGGCACCAACGCTACTTCGTGCTGCTGCCTTTCCTTCGCCATTCTCGCGTGGCGATGGCACGGATGGGGCGACGCTAATTGGTTCACACTTTTCCTTCTGGCCACATTTGGCACAGAACTCACAGCGCGTGCATCGCTTTGAGACCATGCGCTTGCATTTTCGGCAAGGCGAGCGCTCTCCGTAGTGCATAGCGTGCCCATTCCCTCGAATCTTCTGTTCCAAAGAAGCGCTTAGTGCCACCTGATTAACATTGGTGATCAAGCCCTCGTCCATCACCATCGTTTCTTCTTCATCGTCTTCAATGTATTCTGTGGCAACATCGACGGCACCAGAATCTTTCTGCAGGAACGACTTCGCTTGGTATTGCAACACAGAGGCAGGCGCGGTTCTATGACCGGTCGTGCTTGTGCTGGACGAAGTTGTGGTAGACGCTGCACTGGAACAAGACACCGAGCTGGTCGAGTTTCGCGGTGCCGCAGAGCCACTCGTCGTCGTCGGTGTAGATATCGACGCAGAAGTGAAAGAGTGCTGCAGCAAGTTTTCGCCAGAAAACTTGTTACTCTTGCGAGAACTGCTGTCGTCTGGTGAAATGCCGACGGGTTGCCGCGATTTCGTAGGTCCATCCTTGACGGTCGAGGGCACACCACAGGAGCTTTCAAAGTGGCGACGGTAAATGTTCAAGCGACTGCACTCGGCCGCATACTCTGCATGCAGCAAAACGAAGAAATGAGCAAACCGTGTCAACTCCCGCAGCAGTGACGAGCTTTTGCAAAGACCAAACCACTGACGTGATCTCGTGCACATACCTGAACCAGCTCCATCGAGAAGATCAATGACCTTAGCAAACGTTTCGGTGAGGTACGAGTTTCGATTCCGCTCTGCGTCTGCTTGCACATTCACGTCTAGAATCTGAACATCGAAGAAATCGGAGCAAGTGTTACTCGGTACCATCTTCATTGCCCGTTTTCCTCAGCTGTTACCCACCCGTAGCAGCGCGCGCACTTGGGAGAACAACTCGATCCGCTTCTTCTCTTCGGTCAGCCCAACTTCGCGTCGACTGACGCCGTTTACTAGCCACGCATTCAGCACTTTTAGTCCACCTTGTTCATAAAACCTGAGAGCCATAGCAGACGCACAACAAGTCAGCATCAGATACTCGTGAATGATGCGGTCGATGCACGTCATGCGCAGCGTCGCTCACACTCGGGCGTCGGCGTCGCTGAGCTGCATAATTAGCAGCGCGAGAATCGCGCGGTGCGACAGCGTGTGGATGGAAGGCATGAGCTTGCACAGCACCTGCGTGCGCTCAGCTCCCACGACCTCTCCGTCCTCGTTCATGATGAAGCCCAGCACGCTCACGACGCTCATGGCGGCCGAGTCCTCCCAAATGCGCGTGCGCATCGGTGAACAGACCCAATGAGAAGATTGATGTCGATGTGTGCGAGTCGATGGGTGCGCTTTCGTTTCTACCCGAACTTCGCTTCGACTGGCCGCTCGTTTCTATTCGTGTCTCGTTTCTATCGCTCGTCCTGTCAGCAGTTCGAGTCGACATCTTCGTCGAGTCATGGACACGTCGGCACTGCGAGAGTTCGCCTTCAAGAAGCTGCAAGAGGCCAGAGAGCGAGGCACGGAGCTCGCGGCTGTGACAGCTGCACGCGCGGCCTCGTCTATCTCTAGCTCCGTGCCGGTATCTTCGTCGTTCGTCTTCCGCTCGCCAAGCTCGACAGCTCCACAGGAGCTCTCGCAGCCAGAGTCACTGGAGCAGAAGCTCGAGACGCTAAGTACGCTCGTCGCTGCCTGTCGATAGCTGTGTAAGTGTCAAACGTAGTAGTGAAGGAAGACCTAACGCGGCTGCTACTTCTGCCAGAGGCGTCGAATGACTCGCTGCGTGCGGCGCTGACGGGCAGCTCGTCCGGACCCGTGGACGAGAGCATCCACAAGCTGGACCTGATCAACGAGTCGCTGGCATTTACTATTGAAAACGTCCAGGGAGGCTCTCACGCGATGAAGCTGTTGCATCGCCATATGAAGGACACTGCGGCTATGCAGAACCATAAGCATCAGGCTTTCTACCGACGCCGTCCGAAGGTTGGGTAATGTGGATGCGGACCATCGTACGCTCCCACTTGTATGAGATGTTCGCTCGATATGCTGAGCTGAGCTGAAGCTGACACTTTATGTGTAAGCAGAACTGTTTGTGAGCAGTATATGTGATACTGTGTGACTTCATCGTGCGGTTTGACGCTTGGGCCTTCGCAACAGCAAATGTCCTTATCCGTCATGGTCTGACGACTAAGGACATTTGCTGTCGAGAAGGCCTGACACCTTTTTCAACACTCGATCCTCTCTACATATCGGAGACTGGAAGCATCGCTGGCGTTTGACGCAACGCGAAGGTAGAGAAATGAACTGGAGCTTGTATCAGAGCCGGCCTTGCACGAGCCAGCAGCATCGTTGAGGGAGGGGGCTGTTACACCGCAGATAGTGAGTGCGCCTTGACTTCGTACTTCCGTTAGGTTGTATCGAATTAACAACCGATCGCTGGCTTCCATCAGGATTCTCGAACGTGTCTACTGTAGGTCAGCGGGACACGGTCGTCGACAAAAGCTTACGCGGGAACCTCGTTTACCATCCCGAAGCTCTTTACGAGGTAACAACTGCGGCACGATCGTGCGAAACTCGACCGAAAGTTGATAGTCATCCGCGATGGGCCGGAGTAGAGGGCTTGTTTTTGCTATTGATCGTAAATTACTTCGGTAGCAATGGTCCTCGAAAATAAGGTGCATGCAGCCACTATATGATACAAGCTAGGACGATCGCCTCAGTGCGATGAGGCACGGAACCATCCAAACGTCGTCGAATGCTTACTAAGCTACGCGACGAAATGACGTGCTTGCCACCATTTTGGTGTTGCCGAATCGCGTACGTTCTTGCATGGCGATACACCTTGTTGCAACTCGAAAAGCTAGAGCATACGACCGAAACTTGACTACAGATTTGTATCCTGAACAAAGGCGCGAGCTTCTGGACGAATCAAGCTGTGCGAAATGGAGTCATTCCTTCCCCGTCAAGCTGTGGTGTGAGTGATAGCAGCGACGACATTTGGCTGCTGACTTGTTCGTCTCTCTACACAACGTCCGTGTACCTAAAGCACTTCACTCAGGTTCAACGGATACTCTGTTGTCACGAATCGAACGCTAGGACGAATCTTGCGTCTTTGGCTCGTCTTTTCCACGTGACGCAAACGTATTCCGGACGTTCCAAGACCTTTCCGTGATCAACAAAGCGTGGATGGGTGCTCAAAAGAAGAGACGATCGGCTTTGGTGCTGCACATGCGATTCTGGTTCTGCTGTCCCGTCTGCTCCAATCGTAAGATTATCGCTTCCACAGATATGCGGGGTCCGTTACGACCTACCTTCTTGTGTAAGCGCTTGAGACTTTCGAGCTTGTGCGGTAAGTAAAGCTGAAGACTCTCGAGCTTGTGCGGTAAGTAAAGCTGAAGACTTTCGAGCTTGTGCGGTAAGTAAAACGATCTGCTGCTCCTGCGAAGTCCTGTCTGAGTACGGACGTTCGACATGAAGCAGTGTCGAACCTGTCACCTTCGTCTTGCTTTCTGTTCGGCTGAAGCTCGGCTGGCTGGCTGGCTGGCTGTCGTCAAAGCCTGGCAACGCAGCGCTGCAGACCACTCGCTCACTCATAAAACATTCACGACGAAACGGAAAACTCGTCTTACTGTGTGGCCTACGACAGCTTAAGCGTGAAGTTGGCCAGGTCGTCCTCCATGTACACATCTTCGTCTTCTTCAGTACTAGCGCTACTCTCTTGCGTTCCATCTCTCGTGCCGATGCGAGGCTTGACGGTTGTTAGCAGAATGAGATCTGCAGAAGCTGTGCGGTCGTGGCGTTCCCGCGCGCGCAAAGCTGCAGGAGAAGGAGCTGCCGACTTGGCTGGCATCCGTGCGTGAGCTGACGACCGCGAAGACAAAGACGCCAACCAACTGGCGGACGACTGGGCAGACATGCTGGCCGCGCGGTGGAAACTACCTGAGAGAGTCAACGTATCGATGTCCGATAGCAAGACGATTCCTTGGGTGCTGCATGGTCGACGAGTCGAGTCGGTTGACCTGGCTGAAGGGCTGGACGGTGTAGCACGCAGGTCGAGCCGCGGTGTGAACGACCGGACGTCTTCGTCGGACCCTTCGTCATCATCCGGTCCGCTGCGTTGGCTGCCGATGCTACTCACGCTTCGCTGATGTCTTGAGTCCGAGATGGACGCGCTGGAGCACAGCTCAAGATCCGGGCGCGCTTTGTCTTTCTCTTCCTGCTCCATGTCAAACGCTTCTCCTCCGGACGAAGCTCGATATCCTTGAGACACCGACGCCGATATCGACGCCATGGACGTCGAGAGGTGGCGGCCTCTGACCATGATGCCTCTACCTCGTGGCGCATTCGCGCGACTGTCCGGGCCAAACTGTACACACAGCAAACACTCCCGCTTGTGATGCCCCCACTGCTGCGGCCGATTGCCTCCAGATGCCATCGAGCTGCCACATCGGCCACGTGAGTGGTCGGCACTTGCACTCACACACGCTAAGCTTGGAGTAGTCTTCAAGGAGCATTTCGAGCACACTCCAGATCCGCACGAGCGACACGTGTGGTGCAGGCGCAACAGTGAGAACTGCGCCGAGCACACGGTGCAGCAGCGCGCCTCCTGCAGCCACGACGACGACGAGCGCACGCCAACGTTGGCGGCGTGGTCCTTCCACTGATGCGTCAGCGCTCGACGAGCGCCTACCATCAGCTCCGTGCAGAACTCGCGAAAGTCATCTGGTCGCGGACACGCAGCAGGTGCGCCCTCGGCCGTCGGGGGGACGAACACGGAGCACGTCAAGACCAGCGTGCAGACGAATGGGTCGTGCGTCTCAATGACGTCGAACATCCAGTCGCGAATGTAGAACCGCGTGGCCCCTCGCACGCGGACCTTTGCCAACGGCTCAGCCGACACACTGGACGAGTTGCTCAGCGCGCGTTCCGACACCGAGCGGCGGTAGACGAACCCGTGGACCCTCGAGTGGCCGTCGCTGTTGGTCTCCGTGTAGCGCGAGGCGTACTCTGCAAAGCAGCAGTCGAGCACCGGCGCGTTGGACTTGGGCGAGAACTTGGTGGCCACGTACTTGCGGCTCCAGCGCGGGAACGCCGTCGCGTCTGATTCGGACGTTACGGACACCGTCGGCAGCGGCTGGAGCTGCACCAGTCGCGCCGTCGACAGCAGCGCCGCTGCTTTGACGTCCCGGAGCGTGTTGAGCGCGACCCAGTAGTTCTCCCGCGCCGACTCGCTCGCCAGGAAGTCCAACACGGCCTCCACGTTGCCCGGCACGCGCGTCGTGCCGCGGAAGTCCGCCGTCTCGAGCGCGCCGCGGGCGCCCGCGGCCAGCGCGTCGCTCCCGAGTTCGCCGCGGCGACTCGAACAGGACGGGAACGACACGGCCGACGACGAGAGCGACGCGCGCACTGGCGACGTGTGGGACGGCGTCACGCGCCGGTACCGGTGGACGTGGTGCACCTGCTCGAGCGCCGCGTAGTGCACGCGCGGGTCCTCGTAGCGCAGGCGCGCCGCCATCTCGTCGGCGTGGTCGCGCACGTAGGGGAACATGATGGACTGGTGCGCGCCTTCGGCTTCCCAGAGCACGGCGCCGGCCGAGTCGAGGGCGCTCATGCCGGGGCTCGTCACGCTGCTGCTCGTGGCGGCCGTCGAGCTGCTGTGCACGTGCTTGTCGGCGCTGGGCTCCATCGCACCGCCGGCCCGAGAATGCGGAGGAGGAGGCGTCAGGCGTCAGGCGTCAGGTACCAACAGTCAAGTGCAATCAGGCGACAGTGCCCCGTCTCCGCCACCGCTGGTGCCCCGGCGTTGTTGTCGCGCTGCCCGGTCTGCCCGACGTAGCCAGGGCAGCGGCAACCGTGGTGTCGCAGGGCCCCTGGAGGCACTGCCGTCTTCACGGGCGCGGCCAGGCGACGCGCGGATTGGCCGAAACCTGTCGCTCGTGAAACGCCAGCAGGCTCGAGCACGTCACACACGCTCCAGACGGCAGCAAAGATATCAAGGCGGCGACTGACCGACCACCCGCTTCGAAAGGGCCAGAGAGAGTGCAAGAAGGTCGCACGGGTCCAGCGCCGGCAGCGATCGCACCCAGGGGGCGTGGCACCCCGTACCCTACTTTCCTCAACACGCACGTTGACGGCGGGGCGTCAACTCGACGGGTCTGGCGCAGCCGTTGGAGTTGCTCCGGCGCGTGCGCGACAATCGATCGAGGAACGCTGTTCGCCGTCTTTTCTATTGCACCGGCGGTTTCGCCCATGCGGGTGGTCCATACGACGGCCCGGCAAGTTCGTTCGCTCGAGCAGCCGGCGGCAGGTGACTAACTGCTGCTGCGAGCCATCGTAGCAGTCACGCGGCAGCCACTGCTTGTAGCAGCGTGGGGCGTGTTAACAACAGTCCACGCCCTGTCTTCGCTCGTGCTGACGGACCTTAGAGGGGAGACAAATGAGCATCTCGTGCGATCGAACCCGCTACACGTGGGTGCGGCTGTTCTGCTTTTGTCGCTAGCGATAGGATTACTGCTTGAGCGACGGGCCGACGTAATGTGGCTGTGCAGTCGACGGATGCCGCGGAAAGACGGGGAGCGAGAGGGCGAAAACGTTGCCGCGAGCCAGAGCTTTGTGTCTATTCGGCCGGTACCGCTCGCGTGGTCCGCCCCTTTCGTCAGGTCCGGTCAGCGTCCTCGAGCGCAGTGGCTCACGACGACCGCATTGTCCTGACTCCCCCTCGTATCATAAACGCGCTCGTCAGGTGCCCCAGCGGGTTTGCTGCCGCTGGACCCAAAGAGCATGCGGGCCAAACGAGACGAGTCCGGCGTCACGTCCCGGAAGATCACCGCCACGGCCGCCGAGAGCAGCACGAGCTGGCCGAGCTTCACGGCTTTGGGCGGCACGGCGAGCGCTGCCACCACCCGAGCGGCTAGCGCGCCCGTCGCGTACACCGCTATGGTCTTCATGACGCTGCCGCGCCGGTGCTTGTGCTCCAGGAGGAGCGCCAGCGCGGTGAGTGCACCGGCCCATCGGACGACCGCCCGGTGTCGGTCGCTCCAGGACAGACACGAAACCCCCAGTGGGATTTGGTACAACATCGTGAGGCAGCAACAGGTGCGCAGGTAGCGCCCCACGAGCGACGTGAGTGCCGGGCGGGGTCCGTAGATCCAGCGCTTGTAGTCGGGAGCGAGCACGGACACGGCGTAAATGGGCACATGCAGCCGCATGGCGAACTTCATGTTCCTCACGTAGAAGTCCCTGTGAAACTGCGCACAGGTCTGTCCACGGTGGAAGACATCGCACCGTGACAGCAGCTTTCCTGACGGCATCTCGTCGCGCATACGGCGCAGGACAGTCGACGAGAGCTGGCTACACCCGTCGAGCGCTGCCAGTTGAGACGTGGCGATCGCATCGCTCTGGTAGATCCACGATTCGATCATTGGTCCGGTGAACAGAGCTCCCAGCGGAAGGTCTGTTTCGACATGGAACGAAGCGCCACTACAATACGTTAGTCACGGAGTCAAAAGCCCCAACGCGTCAGCCAAACGAATATTCCGACCGATATGTGGGACGTCCGACAGCGATGTAAACTCCTTTACGATGTTCAATGCGGCCAGAACAACAGCGTACGAGACGACAATAGTCTTTCGCTCAGCGTCCAATGCGAGTGACGCCACGGCTGCAGCACTTGCTGCCGCTTGAGACGTAGTGAAGAGCCGCTGCCCGTTTCGAGTCGAGACCTTGCGGCCGATTCCTTCCAGCAGTCTGAAAGTACCAGTGAAAGCCCCAAGCGACAAGGCGAGAGAGCCTGGAGCCTTCACTTG